GTGAACGTACTCCCCTTCTTATGAAGAAAAAAAAATGTCAATAAACGGTTGCCGACTCTTGTGAGAGCACAGAAATACGTTAAAATAAAACCAACTCTCTATCGGGTTACCGAGCACAATGATAGTAGCGGCCCGAGCGCACCCTCCTTGCAAGAATGATCATGACCAAAGCACATTTCCAGTGAATGTGGGATGAGCCAATGTGTGTTGTAACACAGCCTCATCCCAGATCAACCTTTTTGATCGTCAGATTCTCAGACATGAAAACGTAAAATAAAATTAAATTAAAACTGAAAATGATGAGCGAATGTTTACTTTCTACATACACATGAAAGCATTCATTTGGTGGCATTCACTAAGTTGTCTGTGCAATTGTTAACTACAGCAATCCCATATGTAAACAGTTTTTGTGTCTGCATGTGCTTGTGCCGTGTAAACCAAACTGCACGGCGAACACCCACTGCTCAATAACATTTGTTGTTCATCGAGGTTGGTTGTTTGTTGGTTCTTGGCATTTGTTGCTTAAATGAGACCGCAGCTTACGAGTCCACAGAAATATACAATAATGTAGGAAACATACACCAATACCACACCATTCGCAGCTTGACATCCTTCGGCAAGCAGCAGAGTGTACTGAAAATACAACTATAGTACCAAAGTCCATATCGTACAGCATACCATCCGAACCGGACTAATGCCTGCAGCCATCTAAAAGATACTTTCTGAAGCTTAAGATGTGCGCGAAGGGACATTATCCACTCACGACAAAAAGCTGTGTGTGTACACCTGAAGAAGAGTGTTATCATACACAGCACTTTCGATCGAAAACAGTAGTCTGAGCATTAATCGGACATACACTACTCCACAAACTAGTCCCACATTTTCTATTCAAACAATAATTGTGCTGTATTGTTCTTCATTTTTGTCTTATGTAGGTACCAAAAGGCCCACTTCTGGACTAGGAACTCAGAGCAGCAGGCCTAGGCACTTTCCGTGCCTCGACATGTGCTAGCAGCACAAGCCTGAATGGTCAGCTGTGATGATCACTGGTGGACTTGCACTGCAAAACTTGGCCCACCTGCAGAACGAGCCACTTCCCACTCTACCAGTCCCACCCCCCACTGACGATGCTGAAGGCAGTCTCATCTCCCATCGACTCCAGACCCCGTGGACAGATTCAACGGGGCATGGGTGCGGGCTCAACTCGTGTGGTGTTTCCAGTAGCAACTGAATGCAGAGCATGTCCTTTTTAGCTTAGGTCACCGAAGAATCAAGTCACTGGCCATGTTAAAGCTCAGAATGCAATCGGGCCAGAAACAAATCAACCTAATACTATGGCCACACACTTTCTAATTTGAACCGAAACAAATCCGCCGGTTTCTCAGCTAGTTGGTCACCACAGATTGTTGCAATGTCTTTGTTCTGCTCAGGTTTCCGCTGGACGACAGTGTTTGAAACTATGCTGGTGGTTGCTGTTTTATCAATCTTCCAAAAGAAGCAAGACCAACTTGCCCTCTTTGTTGTGGAAACATATTGCTCGAGAACAATTCAATATTTGTCATCACACAAAGCAGGGGGGTAGCAGGATACAAAGAAAGTAAGAAGCTTCAGGTAATTACATTAAAATAACTCAAAATTTTGCCGTGACAGACTCGAGACTTTTCAGCGAGTTGTTCAGTGCACATTTGTTCGAAATAAACTTATACATGAGAATGTCTGAAATAATGTCTTGCAGCTGTGACCCCACATAAAGAGCTTTCGGTTAGAATAAATATTACAATAGCGCAGCAATTCCTTGTGAGGACACCTTCGGATGTTATGCAGTCAAGGATGTCCTACCCAACAGTTACTTACACAAGCATGCAGGGCCCATGCACTCAAACTGACGGCATCACACTACGTATTACTGAATGCGAGCATGCATGAGGTGAGCACCGTACCAGGGTTTAGCTGGAACCGCTGCTCAATTACTGTATCACTGTGTGGTCAGCTGCAAACTTGGGCCCAATTGCTACGTCGGCACTGTAGTAGTGTGCAGTGAAAGGGCAGTGAAGTCAAATTTGGAGGTTTTACGTGCCAAACCAACGACGGGCGTCTGGCACGCCCCAGCAGAGAACTGAGGATTAATTTTGACCACCTGGGGGATCTTTGGACAAGCAACCGAAAGCTCTGTGACACGGCGCCACCTCCGCAATGAAAAGGCAGTGGGCAAGCCTCGTCAATGTGGTGTCGACATTACTCTGGTAGGCGGTGCAAGTTCATAGAGGATTGCGAGGCACAAACCCCTGGACAGGAAATGAGACGTCTTAACTCAATGAAAACTATGGCAAAACTCTGGGACAGCAGCATTTAATGAGCGAGGCTGCACATGGACTACACAATAATGAAAGGGACATTACATAAATAACAGTGGCAATGTTTAGGAAACACCTGGCTGTACATTCAAACAGATTCCTAATTTCCATCAAGGGGATCGGTGGTCGACTGCATTAACGGATCACAGCTTGGAGCACGTGGAGTGAAAGCTCGCACAGCTGAACATAGGAATCTTGAGTTCAATCTCTGCCTCTGCCTGTATCGATGTGGATGAACATTGTAATAGCATGCAGTTGTGTATCACTACTGTGATTTAAGTTAAAGACCCCAGGATAGCTGTGGTACGACACTGGCTGAATATCTCGTCTACAGTGGAGATAAGTTGCTCACTGGGGCTGACTAACTTCCCATTGTCTAAACATACAAACAATGTAATTAGTAAGAAAAAGAAATACTCGGTTACTTTATAAGTTTTAGAAGAATAGATTTAAAGCTGACGTAACTACCCTTTTGCATAAAATGTTCACTACAAATAGCCAATCGAGAAACAAGTTAGAAAAATGGTAGGCTTTACTGAACGAGATACGGTCAATACTTGTAACAACTTCAGGTCAGGGATAAAATGAAGCAAGCAAAATGAAGCATTCTTAAAAATAAAAGAGAATGTAAAACACTGTAATTACTAAAGAGGAAGATGAAACAAATCGAATAAATCAGCCTACTGACTGTGGCTGGGCCCCGAGAACAAGCAGTTGTTGCAGCGCGATTAGTTTGTTGAGCTGAAGCAGCTCAAGCTCGAACCAGCTTGTTACGCTGCTGCTGATGGAAAACCTGGGCCTGCGTCTGTTAATAGGCAACCTGACACTGACGTAGCTACACCTGCAGCAGGTGCAGCTCCTCCAGTTGGTGCGGCCTTTAGTTGTCTTCACTCGGACAACCACACGTGGCGGCTGAGGAGGTAGAGGAGGCGGGGGCTTGGTTGGTGGCGCAGCAACCGCAACCTCCATGATGCCACCCCAGTCCAGCAGCGGTGAGGCAGGTGAATCTAGGCAAGCACAACACATTGACGCCGAGTGTTACAAACACGGTGAAGACACCGGAGAACTGGTAGAAACTCACAACGACCTCATTACAGAAATGTTAAATGCCAACTGTTGGTAAACATAAAAGTCTTCCTTCCTTGTTGTGACCCTTTCCTTTCCGTGATACTGTCAGTAGCGGCAGGGCAGACTCCAAATGGTGATACCGTCAAAAGAAACAGCGCTGTTATCTCGGACCTTGTGGGCCCTCAGGCACACGTGTGGTGTATTCGTCAATAAACATGTCATTATTCAGACCCAAGGAATTTACTGTGTTCCTACGTGGCACCCCTAACAAGTCGCATTCATGAAAATGTGGCTCATTGTGACAGTTTTTAGCGTTCCTACGAGACAGCATGCCAAAATCGAAATAATAAACGGAAGAGCATAGACAGGTTTTTTTATAAATAAACATTGGAAGCTGTGTGATCAAGTAGCAACTAACCATCATGGGTGCGTAGCAAATGCAATCGAAAACTTACAAGCATCATGCCAGTCGTCATGCTCGTTCACTGTGCCTTCGGGAATGGCGGCTGGCAGCATTGAGAGCACCGGCCAACCAGCGCGGGCGCTGCCACTGTTGTACGGGCTTGGCAGCCGCATTGCCATGTGGGACACCAGTGCCCCACAAGATGGAGGGACGGGCTCATTGTTCAGCGGGTGCGACACCAGTGCCCCCTCCTGCAATGAAAGGCCGAAGAATATCCTGTGACAGCATCCATGAGTTGAGATGTACAGAGCACAACGCAAAAAGAAAAACGAATCATACTACAACTTATGCGGTACAATTTGTTGTTCGACACTTAACTGGAAGAAATAAATGCGAAACAAGTGATGTCATACCTGTGCTGTTTCTTGATATGCATGGAAAATACTGGAGTAGCTTAATGTGATCATCGACAACAGTCATATTGTAGACACACAACTTTTCAAATCAATAATGTATACTTCTACCCATATTAAATTTGTGCCAGCTTAATCATGCCAGTACAATGCGCTGGTTAACCTCGCAAATAAATGACAATGGTTGCACACTAACATGGACACCTGAAAAAAGACATCTGTCAACAACAGGACTCCAGCAAGTCTCATGTTCACATAATGGCATTTCTTAGGAGGTTACAATTGAAAAATGAGAGCTGGTGGTTAATTAAACCAGCACAAGATTTTTTTTCTTCAAAAGATTAGCACACAAGGAGATGAGGTGCTAGGTCTAATTGACATAGTCGAAACTCCTACTTAGCGTAACTTCTACGTGCACTAGTGTCAGTTCGTGCGTCGCGTTCTTCTTTATACGTCCAGGTTGCCTCTCTAATCTCAAGAAAGGGGCCGGAGGCTAAGGTAGTGTGGCGCAACCAGAATGTTCGCAGCGTAATTTTCGCTTGGATATAGCACAGCACGCAAAGTAAGATGTCGATGTCGGCACAAGAATCACCAAAGATAGCGAGAATTCACCGTCACTGCCCACCTACGGCCTCGACAGTAACGTGCTTGACTAGCTGCAGGTGGCCACAGCAAAGTCCCTTGCAGAGTTATTTAGTACACACGTCCTGTCATGTGATCTTGCGAACCCGTTGCGTTATTGTGCCCGAATATAGAAATTGCTTACACACCTGTTGCGTGGATTCCCTGATTCTTCTCGGCGTCTGTTTTCTTCCACTTGGGTTTACCGTTGTCCCAACACTCGTGGGCGGACATGCGGCTGGCGCTTATACTTGGTGCAGACTCTTCTACGCGTCAATTTTAGCTTCTTTCGGGGAGTTGTTAGTAGAACGACGAAGAAGCTCCCCTCCTTTGTGGAACCACTCGCCCCTTCTTGTCACCTTCGTTGAACGACATCGTTGTAGGGCAAGGCACTCTAGTAGGACTCTGAAAAAAGAGGAAGGGTGAAAATGCTCGTTCTAGGCGGGGACAGCGAAGCAGATAAGCGGTGCGACGAGGTGAGACGGCGAAGAACGGGCGAGACGCAGAGACGAACGACGGTAGCGAGCTACAGCTGCCTCTACGACGCAAAAGCTGGAGAGCGGCCGCCACCGTTGCCAGACTGGAGAACGCTTGTGGCTGTTTGTCCGAAAACCGGCAGCAACGCATAAAACATGCGCGCTGCGAAGCAGAAATCTTGCAGACTCCCAATTCAATGTTAGTAAAATGTGTCCCTTCAAATAAAATGAACTAATATGTTCATAATTCACACCAAAATACTGTTTTCAACTTCGTTTTTACTACAACCTCGTAACCAGACGCCTTTCACGTCTCCTCGAGCTTCCTCGAGTGGAGGAAGTGTTCTCGAGGAGCTCCTCAGCCGAGGAAACGCCGAGGCGCGTCTGTGAAGCCCGATGGCTCCTCAAATGGGGGCGAGCTGCTTTCCTCCACTCCAGTGAGTCGAGGTAGAGTGTCGAGTCGAGGCCCGTTTAAGAATACGGCCGTTATTCCTGCCGACGTGTTTCGGGTGTCCTGTGGGTGGGCTGGGCTCGTGGCAATCTTGCGGTGTGGAGTCGGCCAGGAAGATGAAGGGATTAGGATCTTCCCAGGTTTTGCTTTGTAGTTTCGGCCATTGAGGGTCTGCACTTCTTGGTGGGGGCGGTGGGGGCGGTGGCGGTGGTAGGGGTGATTTCTGTCGTCCTTGCATTTGTTGGTGTTGTTGGACGTGTTTCTTGTTGTATGGTCCTCTCTGTCGGGCCGGGCAGCGCGGGTCGACCGCTGGGTGTTCACCGCCACAATTTATGCAGTAGGGTTTGCACTCGTGATCTTCCATGGCACCGCCAGGTGTTCCGCAGGTGGTGCATCGGCTCTTCTCCGGTTGCGGGCACACGTCGGTGCGATGTCCTAGGCCCAGGCAAACGCCGCATATTTGTTTTCTTGGTTGGTAGGGTCTGCATGGGTATTCACCGCCCGACGGGTACACGTAGTAGGGTACCTTGAGTCCCTCAAATGTGATGATGGCAGTGTTAGTCTGTCCCATCATTCTGGCGTACAAGATGTTGGTCCCGGGGGCACGTAATTCCTCAGTGAGTGTCTCGGCTGTCGGTCTGGTGTCTACACCGGAGATGATGCCTCTGCATGAATTGTCGGGGACTGCCAGGTATGCTGTGACTTCGTATTGCCTGGTTTCGAGAGTTAGCGCCGAGATTGCTTGTATGCGGGAGGATGTCTCTAGTCTTGGGGTGCTGATGATCGCCAGGTTCTGGTCACGGCGGATTCTTATAGTGATATCGGACGTTTCGGTGGACGAGAGTTTAGATGCCACGAGGATGGCTCGTGTGAGCTTGTCCGTACTCCAGGCTCCGAGGTTGAGACCGTCTCTCGGCCGGATGACCACTTTGTAGTCGTCGATAGGGAGGGGTGGTAGCCTTTTTCGGTGCAGCGTTTGTGTTTGTGCTCGGCGGCTCCGGTTCTCCTGAGTGTAGGGGGAGCCGGGATCACCTGCTCTCCGACGGGGATTTGAGGAGTGGTTGGGTGCTTTCTCGGCAGCAGTGGCCTTTTCCCTCTCGGATTGAAGTTGTTGTCTTCGGGCTCACCTGCTGACTACGTCCGTCCAAGAGAAGTTATTTGTTTCCTCCTGTTGTTGATGCGAGGCATCTTTACTGGGTGACTCGTCGTTGTTTGGGTTGGGGTTCCCATTGAGATCGGCCGCGCGTTCATTTTCCTCTCGGTTGGTCGGTTGGCGCTGGGATAATGCTTGACTACTTTCCATGATGGTTAGGGGCAAGCGTCCGCCTGTTGCCGGGTCGAGAGCTGCGCTCTGATGGCGCGGGCGGAGCCGGCCGCCGTGCTTGTCGTTTGGCTTAGCTGGGCGGGCTTCGGTTTGTGTCTTAGGAGTCTGATAATGTTAAAAGTGGTGGGCTCACCGGGACTTGTGGACTTGTGTGGTCTCAATGGATGCCGTTCATCGTAGGGAGCCGTTTGGTGTCGGCCCCACCCATGTGGGGCCGACAAAGTTTACAGCTCGCCCCCGCGCGTGATCGTAAATCGTCTCCGCCGAGGCAAGCCGTTGTGTAAGGTTCAGCTCGCTCCTCTCGTGCATCCTTTCCGCAGAGGGAATCCGATGCCGTTCTCGCGAAAGTTCCAACACACTTCCTACCATAGAGATCATGCATACTAACTCTAGAGGAAAAGGTCCGCCATTTTCCCATGCATTCTGGCTGCCGCAAGCGGCGGAGTATGCAGGCAGACCCTCGGGGTCCCACATGGTTACCAACTGCCTTCGATTTCATAAATATATCATCAGAGCAGTTTCATGAACTTCAACAATCCACAAACTTACCGGTGGAAAGATATTCGCGTTCCTTTCGAAGCTTTCTTTTTGCATAACGCGCACATGTACGGCCTAGAGTCAACGCTAAACTAAACCAGATACCCGGCTTCGCCGGTGGGGCGCGGGGGGGGGGGGGGGGGGGGCGCGGTTGAGGAATACGAAACCGCGCAACCACCAGACTTTGGAGATTTCGACGGAAGGAAAGTTAATGCAGCGTAATGACTTTATTGCTTTTTATAAGCGTTAGAATAGCTCAGAATTTAGTTTAAAACATTAAATTATCACTGTTTATATTGCTGAGAGTTTTCAGTCTTCGCGTTTACCATTGCGACTGTCGTCCTTCAGCTGGCAACGTTGCTTTCTTTCTCTCGTGTTCTGTCGCTCTCTTTCGCGATCGTTCACTCGGGACCCAGGATGTCGGCGCACGAGATATGCCACTCCTCCTCACCCACCTTTACCCCCCTGCTTCCCACCGAATGGGCACGAGCACATTCTAGAGTTCCGTCATTTCTAGGGGGTAGATTAGTTGCACTGGCCTTGGCAATATTGTACCGCGATGTACGCGAATCTCGCATGAACGAACCCTTGCATCGCGTCCATGAAATACCCTCTCAACCTTTCCAATCTTCCAAAGCAGTCGTCGAAGTGGCTCTTTCAACAGGACCAACTGGCCCAATCGGGGCGGAGGGGACTGCTTTTGGTGACTAGCATAAGCAGACCTCAGTTCTCGGAGGCATGCCGCCCCCCACGTCCCCCAAAATAAATTTAGGATCCGTTTTCGCTTTCGCCACAGACCGCGAAGTGTTTCCGGTGTCGAAGCGAGCGGCTCTCCCCCGGCCGCCGGCAGCGCCGTCAGCCGTCTACCCATTAGAAAACTCGCCGGCGTGAGAGGGTCGCCCTCTCCAACCTCGTTGTATACAAAGGTCAATGGTCTCGAATTCACCACGGCTTCAATTTCGGTGAGAACCGTGGCCCATTCCTCCGCGCCCAGGCATTTCTTTCCGATCACCTTCCTCGATGACACCTATACTGAGCGCACGAGCCTCTCATAAAAACCTCCCCACCATGGCGCGCGTTCGACAATAAATCGCCACCCTATGCCAGCATTGGCAAAATGCTGAATCACATCAGGGTGTCGAAGTGTCTTCCACAGTTCACTTAGCTCTTTTGAGGCCCGCTTAAATGTCAAAGCGTTATCTGAATAAATGACGCGGCATACCCCTCTCCGCAACACAAATCTGCAAGAGGCATACAGAAAGCTCTTTGTCGACATGTCTGGCACTAACTCTAAATGAACCGCTCGGGTGACAGCACATGTAAACAACAGCATGTAACATTTGCTGGTTAGGTCGTTCGCTTTAACATACAAGGGTTCCGCAAAGTCTGTGCCCACTACTTCAAACGGGTCCGCTCGCGTTGTACGATCCACCGGCAAGGGTCCCGTTGGAGCACTCGCAGGAGTCGCGTTGAATCGCTGGCAGGTCGCACACGCCCGCATTACTTTCTTTACCAGCTGTCTTCCGCGGAGGATCCAGTACTTCTCGCGCAGCTGCACGACAGTGTCCCTGGCTCCCGCGTGCAGTACCTGGCGATGGGCGTCGGCAGTCAGCAACGTTGAGTATCGATGCTCCTTAGGCAGTACAATGGGGCGGCGTTCTTCCTGCGTCAGGTTCGATGACTGGAGTCGACCGCTGATCCTCAGCAATCCCTCTTCATCGATGAAAGTGCGAAAGTCACGCAAGAGCGACCCAGGTGGGGGCGACATTCTCTTTGCTGTACAATCAATATCGGAGGCAAACGCTGATCTTTGTGCTCTCGTTATCCAATGTGTTTGCGCTACGTGGATCTCCTCGGCTGTCAGTGGTCCCATCCTTTTTTCTGACGATCTGAGGTTATAGATGAACCGTAAAATCCAGGCCGTTGTTCTGTGAAGTTTCAAGGCCGAGCTGAATCTTGAGATGTCGAGCAACTCTTCCGGTACATTTGCAGTTACCTCGAAAAGCTCTGCTCTTGGAGTCCTTTCCTCGAGCCGGTCGTGGGAAAGCTCCTCGTCACTTTCCCCAGGCGACTCTGTCGCGGGCTGTAGCAACCAAGTTGGTCCGCTCCACCAGAGCGGTGCAGACAACAATCGATCTGCGGACAGCCCTCGTGTCCTCAGGTCGGCATGATTTTCTTCCCCCGGGCAGTGGTGCCACATTGCCTTCTCGCTGTTTGCTTGAATTTCTTCTACTCTATTTTTCACGAACGTCTTCCACCTGCATGGCTCTCCCCTTATCCAATGCAGAGCGATCATGGAGTCCGTCCAGAAGTAGACTTCATCCACTTTGATATCGAGGTATGTCCTTACGTACTTAAACAGTCTCGATCCAATCAGGCATGCCATGAGCTCTAATCTAGCAAGGCAGATTTCCTTCAGGGGTGACACGCGGCACTTAGAAAGTAAGAGTGTCGCGGTCGTTACTCCGGTGTCATTCGTTGAGCAGATGAAGGTCATGGATCCGTATGCGGAGGTGCTGGCATCAGAGAACACGTGCAACGTTCTATGTACAACGCTGCCCTTCAGCTCGCTGTCGTAGAATCTGGGCACGTTAATTTGCTGAACTGTGGTGAGCTCGTCGCACCAGTTGTTTCAGCCACTCATCAGCTCTTCCGGCAGTGTAACGTCCCACCGCCAGGTTCAGCTTCCAGATTTCCTGAAACAAGGTCTTGGCTCGCACCACAAAGGGGGAGAGGAAACCAAGGGGGTAATACAGTCTTTCTGTCGTCTGGAGCACGAAACGCTTGGAGTTTCTTCGTTGGCGGGCAAACTCAATCACGTCTTTTGCCGAAAAGGAAAGGCTGTCTTCATTCGGCTTCCACGTCAGACCGAATACCTTCAACACACCCGTCTGTTGTCCCAATGGTCTCTCATCGGGACCCTTGTCTTCAAGCATTTTCGACAGGGCTGCGCTATTGGAGCCCCACTTATGGAGCTTCATCCCCGCTGCTCCAAATATCTCGATCGCCTCGTGGCAGAATGTCCGCGCGTCCTCTTCACTTTCCGCGCCCGTCAAGAGGTTGTCAACATAGACCGATCTACCCAGTCGCTCTGCTGTCTTGGGGAATGCGCTCTCCATTTCTTTGAAATTATGTCGTAGGGTCGCGGCCAACAGAAAGGGTCTGGACGTGGCTCCAAAAATGACCCTCGTCATACGCCAGACTTTCACCTCCGGAGTTGTTTGGTTCGGTTGAGGAAGTTCTTTGTACCAGAGGAACCGCAGAGCATTGCGATCCTCCGGGTTTACTCCAATTTGGAGGAAGGCCTTTTCGACGTCCGCAACCAGTGCCACCGGGTGTTGCCTGAAGTTGAGTAGCAGGCTAACAAGGTCTGGGTTTAGGTTCGGACCGCTCTCCAGGTTGTCGTTTAGTGACTTGCAGTTCGGTCTGTGGGAAGACGAGTCGAATGCGATTCTCATCTTCGTCGTACTGCTGCCTTCTCGCAGAACAGCCTGGTGGGGCATGTAGTACACGCGTTCACCCGAGATATCTTCTCTCTCGACCCTCTCAGCCATTCCGTTCTCGACGTAAAGCCGGACTGCCTGATCATATCTCTGCATGAGCTCAGGATTCTTGCTCAGCCTCTTTCGTTGGCTTTCGAGTCTCTTCCAAGCCATCTCTCGGTTGCAATCAAGCTTTACATCAGGTTTCCAAGGAAGGCTCACTTCGTATCTTCGATCAGATTTGGTGATGCTTCTCTCAAAGCGCTGCATGATGTCGCTATCGGAGTGATCCTAGACCTCTGCGTCCACAACTCCCACACTCTCAAGCTCCCAAAATCCTCTCAGGACAGCCGTGTTCTCCTGGTCGCTCACGGCAGCTCTGAGGACGATCACTTGGGAACAGTTGACAACAGCTGCAGTCGCCTGGGAGCGTCCATGTACTGCCCAACCAAGGGTGGTCTCCACTGCCGTCAGGTTCTCGCTCAGTCGACGGACTCTTCCCGTAACGCATCCCCAGTAGTGCTCCAATCCTAAGAGGATTCCTACTCCGTTGCACTCGAGCCCGTTCAGGTCGTCACCAACCGTTAGTCCGAGCTCCTCCATATTCACCAGGATGTCTTCATCCGGGCCTGGAAGTTCTTGTTCGCAGATAGAACGCGCCTCGAGGGCGTCTATCTCCTATGTCTGGCCCGTTAGACGATTACTCAAAACTACTTGTTCGCTAGTCTTGCCACCGAACACTCCGACGGTAAGAACCTCCGTTCCGAGAAGCTTGCAACCAAGACCCCTCGACAGCTCCTCTGTAATGAAGAAGCGCTGACTACCACTGTCGAAGAGAATGCGGGCCAACTTTCTTCTGTTCTTGCTTTCCACCCACGCGGTAACCGTTTGCAGAAGGACAGCCGGTTTGTTGCCCTTCTCGCTCCCATGCAGGTTGAGAGGCGTTTTGTCTTTCTTCCG